CAAGATAGTTCGGGCTTTGGCGGGGTGGCACTGAACTGTGGCGCGGGGCATTGCTCAGAAGACACCTGGGTCTGCAGCTTGGTGCAGAGGCTGGGAACTTCAGATCCTCACTGGTTCCCCAGAGGCCACTTGGTCCAAAGAGAGGAACCACGGGCTGAGGACTTCTGCTTCCTCTCTCCAGCATATTTACTTGTAGAAAACATGTCCAGGCAACAGACAGGCCCGTTAGAAAAGTCCAGTTAAGAGAGAGCACCAGCATGCCAACCCAGCCCAGGCCCGTTGGAGGAAGAGGGAGAGGGGTGGGGAGACAGGAAGTCATGGAAAGATACGGAAGGATGGATGGGAACCTGGGATTCCTACAGCCTGAGTCACCCAGCTTGTGGATTCTCCCACTCCACCTTAGGCAGGGCTCAAGCAGGTCTTTGAGGATCTGCCCTCCCATCCCACATTGTCGTTTCCAATGTTAGCCTCCTCATTCTGGGTAAAAAAAAAAAAAAAGATGGAAGTGCGGCATGATGCGTAGGCCTCTCTAGGGCCTGATCTTCATGCTCCAGATACTGCTTTTATATCAAGTAAAATGACCCTTCTCTGCCACACTGGAGATGCGTGGCTGTAGATACTGACTTTAGGGGCTACAGTTTTTGCCAGCTTCAGCAGTCTCCTATATCCAGCCAGGACAGTTTGGAGTTCTTAAATCAGGCCTATTTATCAAAGAAGTCCCTGGCAATACTTCCCTGATGGCCATGGGACCCCAGGAGTCCACAATCTAACTAGAGGAAGAACATGAGAAAGAGGGAGAAGGGAAATGGGACTGAAAATAGGATGGAAGCCTGCATGAGAAATGGGGGTGCAGAGGAACTCCTCTGGGGGCTGCCAAAATGTGGGCTTCCTGCCTAAAAGGGCTCTGGGAGCCCAGTGGAGTGGTGGGTGACTTACGCTTGATTGTCCCCCAGGAGTGGATTCTTGTCATTTGGATTCAACCCTGCTGCCCTGGCCCCATTTGTTCACACCTTGTGCACCAATGTCTCTGTCTTTATGTCCTTCCTTGACCCAGAATGCCCTTCCCAGCCATCAAGACCTGGCTGGGACTTCATTTGCGCTGGAAAGCCTTCCACAGATCTTTATGTGGGACCTCAGGATCCTTCTCTTTGATCCCTGTGCTTCTTTGTATCTATTGCAACAGTAACTGTTGGTTCTGATAGGCAGATAGTATCACCTGGGGGACCTTGTTAAACACACAAATCGTAGCCCTGAATCACAGTGTCTTGGGGTGGGTTTTGGGAAGCTGTTTTCATTGGTCTTCATATGTGTTTTGAATGCCTGGCCAGGGTTGGATATGTCTTTTCTGGACTGTGTCTCCTGGGGGTGGGCACAGAACTTATGTCATGGTGACCACATGTCACTGTGCCCAGACAACCTCCTAGGCCTGGCAAAAAGGCAGGCAGAGTGCAAGGCTCACACCCTTTAATTCACACCATTTTATTTCATTCATAGTTCCTGTTTCATGCCCCAGACACTATGCTGGGTTCTGGGGGTACAAGAGCAAAACCCAACAGAGTTTGCCTTCACACAGCTTCTAGTCTAATGGGGGGAGAATAGAAGTGACTCAAATTCCCAACGCCCACGTAATTACAAAGTGCAGCTTGAGTGTTAAAAAGGAAAAACAAAGGTGCTCAGAGAACCTGCAACGGGGACTCTAATGTAGGCTGGGAGGTCAGGGAAGGCTGAGCAGAGCCCCAAAGGAGGGGCAGTAAAGGAGGGGAGGGGCTGGAAACAGTCTCTTACTGGAGTCTTCTCAGAACCAAGTTCATGTAGGCCAGCTGGGAGGCATTAGGGTGTAAGCTCCTCTACAGACACCCAAGATGGTTTCCCAAGCTTCTCCTCACGCCTGCCCCGCCACCCAGCCTTCACTTCCACTTTCCTACCATCTGCTCTTGCTGTGAGCCTTTGGGAGCTGATGTGTTTGTTAACAAAGGAAAAACCCATTTTTCCATGCTGGGTGGCTGCCTGCTAGCATACACGGTGCCTCTACTGAATTACCAAAAGGTGCACCTCCATTTGAACTGACGTAACCTTGCACTGGGCACATGACTTGGCCAGTGGAGCTCAGACTGGATTCAAGCCGCTACTCATGCCTCCGCTACCCTCTCTTGGCCCAGTGCCCTTGTGCAGTGAACAACTTGGACAACCTTCTGTAGTGGCCTTGCTGCAGTCTCCTTTTAGGCAGAAAGTTCTGGCTTCTTGGCTCACCCTCACAGCTAGAAGATTCCTTTATCCCAGAAGGAGATAATTACATCTTCTATGGGCATAAATCTGTTTGGGCATTTAGAGAAGAATTTATATGTATTTTCTGAAGGACTGGGTGTTTTTCTGATCTAAATTGAAATGATGATTCTTTTAAATATGATCCAAGAGAGTCCTTTCATATGGTAATTCACACACACTCTGGCTGATAAGCCCTAGACTTGGCAAAAGGTTCAAAGCAGAAATTGGGTTCAGATGAGGCGCAGGGATGTTTTTGATCTGATTTTCTTCTAGCCGCTGACATTGGGAGAATTTTGGCCTCTGAGTGGCAGTGGGCCCCAAAAAGCCTGGTAAAGTAAGATCCTTTTTTTCTTTTTCTTTTTTTTAAATTTTTGAGACAGAGTCTTGCCCTGTCGTCCAGCCTGGAGTACAATGGCGTGATCTCGGCTTACTGCAACCTCTGCCTCCCGGGTGCAAGTGATTTTCCTGCCTCAGCCTTCTGAGTAGCTGGGATTACAGGTGCACACCACCATGCTTGGCTATTTTTTTTCTTTTTTCTTTTTTCTTTTTTGTGTCTTTAGTAGAGACGGGATTTCACCATGTTGGTCAGGCTGGTCTCGAACTCCTGACCTCCTGATCCACCCGCCTCGGCCTCCCAAAGTGTTGGGATTACTGGCTTGAGCCATCATGCCGGGCCAAAATAAGATCTTTTTAAAGCAAGTCTGAAATGCCTAGAAAGGGTAGAGGAGTCCTTGCTACACTTGGCTTTAGAAAAAGAAGCCTTTTCTGGGAGAAGATAACTCGCATCACACACTAAGCAAGTCAGACGATCTGAGCTGGAGTGGCCCTTGACAGGTACCTCATCTAGATCCTTCTTTTTATCCTTGGGAAAACTGAGGCTCAGAGAGAGGAAGTGGATTGGCTTAGGTCCCACAGTGAGTGGCAGAGCCAGGATACACCTGACAGGTGCTTGTTCTGCACCTGAACCTTGAGAGTTACTGTTCCCCCACAGAGTGGTGCCAACAGGGTCTGCTATGAGGATGGTGTAAGCTCAAAGGGTGACTGTGTGTGGGAATGGTGAGAAGGGGACACCATCTAGGACCAGAAATCATGGTGTCTCCCCAAGCCCCGTGTGGCCCCTCCTCTTCCAGATACAGAAAGCTGCTTCTGCTACTTAAGCAGGTTAGGGACAGGCATCATCTTCAAGAGGTGACACTAGGAATGGAGTGAGAACTGAGAATGGTGGAAGCAGAAGACAGAAGCTGATCTTATGGACACAGAAGAGTACATAAGTGAATCACAGGCCGTATCACAGTCTCATCAGTGATTATAATAATTGGTTTTGGGCTGGGGGAGGATTGATTGTCAAAGTGACATCCTCTTTTACGTGCCATGTTTTTCCATGTCTGACATCTGAAAAAGCACTTTCAGTTGTAAGGATAAGATGAGCTCACGGGTGCTCAGGAAATGGCAGCATCTCTTGAGAGATTCTGTTAAGGAAAGTAAGGGAGGAAGGGAACTAGATATAAGTCTTCTCCTTTAATACTTTCAGGAGGTATGGTTCTCCTTATCTCACAGATAAGGAAACAGGGTAAATTTCCTGCCCAAGGTCACATAGCCCAAATGCAACGAAGCTCATCTCTTCTGGTTCTGGGCCATTCCCCACACTTTACCTTGCAGTGCCATGCTAGCTTCTCTTAGACTTACCTTGAATTTCCATTAGTTTCAGCTGACTCATCCTTTCCTCCCAGGCCCTGCCCTCTCTCCTCAGAGGACCTGGGGCAGACATGATCCCTGAATTCAGGTGCATGGAATAGGAATGTGGCGCCTTGCCTGTAAGCTCGGACTTCAGGAGACAAGTGTGTTGGTGGCTTAAGCATTTGAAAATGCTGGAAATGGGAGTCCTTTTTCCAAATCGGTGAGATCAGGGGATATTCTGAGACAACACCCAGGGTTGGTTGGTTGTATTTAACTCTGAGACCATCCTGTTTTCCATAGGCCTGAGCTCCATCAGCAAGCCAGGACTCTCTTCTGATCCATGCTCCAAAGTCAGCATAAATATCTCCAGCCAAAGCTGTTCCTTGTTCTGTCAGTAACGCAGTTCCCAAGGAGACCAGGGCCTCTTTCCTTCCCTTGTCTCCTGGCTGCTCCGCTTCTGGTGACAAAACAGGGGCAGCGTCAAATGAAGACTGTCATCTTTTGTGAAACTGTCCTACAGACTAGGCAACTGTGAATTTTTCATCAATCCTGATTTCTCTAATGAGTTGCAACATGATCTAACTCCAGCATGCAAAATTCAACATTTCCATTCCCTGTTTGTTAAGGGTGCAGGTGAATATGAAAAGGCAAATTTCAAAGGTGAACTCTCCTATCTCTGAAGGGCACATGCAGGAGCCTGAAGCCAGCTGGGAGCCAGGAGACATGCATTTTGGTCCTGACTCCCTCCCTGCTGCCTGTGTGCTCTTGGGCAAGTTGCTTTCACCATTCTGGGTTTACATGCTTGCTAAGGACTCTTTCAGTGCAAATATTTTATAATTATAAACACGGAGAAAATTTTCTCAATAATGTAGTTCCTTTGTAATGATACATTTCACACATGCATCATGGCCTATGATACCTGGTGAGTTTAGAATTTTCTCTTGATTGGAACAGGGATGGGTGTTTAAAACAAAAGACCTGAGTCCTTTCCACCTGTGGCCCTGAGTCTGCGGGTTTGGTAAGTCAATTAGGTTGGAGAGTCACAAGCAGTTTACCCTGTAAAAATACTTCCCATTTGTTTAAAATCAAGTCCTCAAGATGGAGTGGTATTTTCAAACTCCAGTGAGCTGGAGCCTCAGAACTAGAGAACTGGATCACAGAGTTAGTCCAGCACATACTTCCGCTTTGCTATACCTTCCGTTTTTGTCTAGTACCACTTGCTAGTGAAATATCTGTTCTGAGTCTTTCCAAAGACAACCACATCCAAGTGGGGAGAAGGCCGACATTCGGGGTGCTAGAAGGGTGGGGTGGCATGATTCAGATCAACGGGGCTGACTTTCCACTGTTTCACCTCACTTGCACCGTAGAGACCAGTTCTGGGACTCCTCAGTTGACAGATGTGGAGACCCAGAGTCAAGGAATGATGGTCCCCTAGGACCCCTGGGGAATTTCACACAACCAGTCAGCACCTGGCTGCCATCAGCCTAAGGCTGTGTCACTCAAGAGGGCTTCCTCTCCAGATGAATAAAAGCTGATTTGAAAGGTAAAAGAGTCTAAAAAACATACCATTATCTCAAGAACAACTTTAACACGTGTAGATACAGACTCAAAGATTTTTATTTCTATTTTCAGTCAAACACATATCAAAACCCGGCATGTTTTCAAACACCACGACCGACACTTGATTTGTGTTTCCTGAAGCCACCCCAGTGAGCCACTATGAAATAAATTAAAAAGAATGGTCAAGGCTGAATGCACACTGAGGTTTCCATGTGCTCAGCTCAGCAGATTCAGGTATGACCCCTACAGAGCTTGGACTCTGAACTGGCACTGACATTCTCTACGCTCAGCGACCATTTCACACAATGAATTCATCTGTGTAATTGTGCCTAGCTGTCCCTAGATTAACTCCATGTTTGCATGAAGATCAAAATGCTTACTTTTCAAAGTTTGGTTTTCTTGATTTCTGTCTTATCTGGGGAGGCATTCATGCTTGGAATTTCCTGGGCTTTTCTTTTTTAAATCTCACAGAGAGATTGAGAGTGTTAAGGGGGCAAGAGTAGGGGGCAGGGGCAGGGAAGCTTGTTTTTTATTGTTCTTTTTTTGAAACAACAATTGGCAATTTTTCTTCACTGTTTTGGTGTTCTCTTGTTAAAGGCAACCCAGACCTCAGAGTAATAGCATTCTTGCTTTGCCCCCACTCCTAAATCCTACCTTAGTCAGAACATGAGCTAGAATTCTGCATCATTAAAAAAAATTCGGCCGAGGCGGGTAGATCATGAGGTCAGCAGTTCGAGACCAGTCTGGCCAACGTAGTGAAATCCCGTCTCTATTAAAAATACAAAAACTAGCCAGGTGTGGTGGTGGGCGCCTGTAGTCCCAGCTACTTGGGAGGCTGAAGCTGGAGAATTGCTTGAACCCGGGAGGCAGATGTTGCAGTGAGCCGAGATCGTGCCATTGCACTCCAGCCCGGGCGACAAGCAAGACTTCGTCTCAAAAATATTCGGTTGGGCTGTCAGTTACATAAAGAGTGCACATCTGAAGTACCTACCTTGATAAGTACTTATGTCTGCTTTGCCTATACCTTCCGTTTTTGTCTAGTACCCCTTGGTGATGAGGTATCTGTTCTGGGTCTTTTCAAGGCCAACCACATCTGAGTGGGAAGAAGGCCGACATTCAGGGTGCTGGTAAAGGTGGGGCGGCATGATTCAAATCCACAGGGCTGACTTCCACTGTTTCACCTCACTTGCGCTGTAGCGGCCAGTTCTGGGAGAAATATTGGAAGGCACGCTGCACCTTTCTTCACAATGGGATCAGCAGGTGAAAGCAAGACGTTTGAATGGAGTGGAGTGTTTCACTTAATCATTAGCACTGCTGACATCAATGAAAAACAAACAATGCGTATCGTCGGCATGGGCACCTACGGTGAGTGGAAAGGAGGCCAGGTTCTTAGTAAGCTTTATGATGAGGTAGGGGACAGATGGGCTTCAAAACGGAGCCGAGGAAGCAGTGTGGCTTATATTTCAGCTGCAGCGTACAATTGTGTTTGTGGTCGAAGAATCCAAACTGTGCCAGCTATTTCAAAACAACATCAGGAGGGCAGAAGTGTGTTTTCCAGCATCCCTAGTGGGTGCCAGGAGACAGCCTTGAGAACAAACACATCTTTTCTCGCAATAGGAAGCCAACTATTTACTTATGCAAGTAATACTATAAAAAGGCATTTGAGTTGCAGCTCCTGAGCTTTGGACTGACCCCTGGACTTGTTTCAAAAAGCTCTTTCTGGAGGAAAAAAAGTCCTGAGGTTCTCAGGTCAAGCCCTGGCTCCAACAACAACTTAAATCCAGTAAGAGCCTCCTTTGCCTATAGGTTGAACCAGCCCAGGCAAACACCATTAAGACAGCTTCCAAACGAAGATGACAATATTACCATTTCAGCCTGAACCTGGTTGCAAAATTCATTTTGTGAAATGTTAAAAGTTAGACAAGCAGAACTGTAGCATGAATGGGACCCTAACTAAAATCCATGCATTCAACTCATTTGTTCAACAAATATTGAGTGGGATGTGCCAATATCTATCGACTGGGAATGTGTAGTATGACTCCCTGGCATCATTAAATGTGAATGTAAATGCAAGAGCAGCCGGTATGGTTGTGCTTTCTTCACAAATTTTGTTCAACTACACAGGGTCAGGTGCTAAGGAAGCAAGAGAGTTGGATTTAACCAGGGCTGTGGTTTTGGAAAAGCAGCATGAAATGAAGGAAGAGAGAGTTGAGGATATGGAAGGAAGTGATGGAGATGAATAATTACGGGATTGAAAAGTGAATTTTATTTTATGTTTTTGAGACAGGGTCTCTCTTTCTCTGTCATCCAGGCTAGAGTGCAGTAGCGGAAATATGACTCACTGCAGCCTTGACCTCCTGGGCTCAGGTGATCCTCCCACCTCAGCCTCCTGAGTAGCTGGGACCACAGGTGCATGCCACCATTCCTGACTAATTTTCATGTATTTTGTAGAGATGGGTTTTCATCACATTGCCCAGGCTGGTCTTGAACTCCTGTGCTCAAGTGATCCACCATTCTTGGCCTCCCAAAGTGCTGGGATTACAGGTGCGAGCCATTGTGCCCAGCCTGGCCTCTGATGTTATTAATAGTTTCTGATCCTGCAGCTAGAAAGGGATTCCAAAGCAGGCGAACCTCTCACACTAAAAGCGACCAGTCATCTTTCATTCTGAGCAAATTTCAGATGGAGTGTAGTGGAAAGATGACGTTGGACTGGCAGTTGGGGACCTGGATTCTAACCCAGCTCTATCACTGTTCATCAGTCCCTTCCTCCTTTCAGGCCTCAGCATCCTCCTCTGTGTAATGAGTGACATTTAAGTTCACTGAGCTCTAAACTGGCTTCTACCGTTTCCCTGCACAGGTGGCATCTTTTTGCCCACTTTGACTTGCCTGGCCTGTTTCAGACTCAGGACTGGCACGGCATTGGCAAGTTTATGGTTTTACAAACCCTGAAGCACGATTTGCAATAAATGATGAAGACATTAAAAATACTGCATGCAAACACCACGGTCTTGAACAAGGACAGGACTTTGGAATTGTAAGAGTGGAAAGGCACTGATGGTCCAAACACCTGTCCTTCAGTTTGAAACCAGCTGGGTAAGTGACTGGCAGACTCTGGGAGACTCACTGGTGCTGGGAACACTGAACGGCACTTTCCCCAGGTGTCGTATCCTAGGCAGTTTGGGTGGTAGGTGGGCAAATTGTCAAAAATCAATCAAAATCTCTAGTGAGAAAACCTTTTTCATTGTCTTTCGATCTTCCCGAATCCTTTGAGGGGTCTCTTGCTCCCAAACCCTTGTAAATATGTCCTTCCTCCCTGAAAACACTGTCCTTTGGCCCCTGCTTGTATTAAACAGAGCAAAAACAGGTCTCAAGCTCAGAAGGTTTACCAGTATAGAGTTTAATAATATTGTTTTGTTTTATTGCATTTCTTTTTGTGATTACTTTCCATTAATGGCAAGTGACTTTTTTTTTCCATTTAGAGTGATTTAAAATTTTTCTTAAAATACAGGTATTCACATTTAAAAAAACTGAGTTGCTTTCCAAGAAAAATGGTGTAGGTGCTACACAGATATGACACCATGGGACAGATGGTTCCTGGAGTTTGGGAAACGCTGATGGGCGGCGTTCCCTAACCTGGCACTGCTTAGATAGGGGAGATACCTCTGAACACAGTAGTGTTTGTAATGCCATTTAGATCTACTGGTTTCGATAACTCACGGGTCTTTTTTTCTTTTTAAATAAATAATTACCTTTTCTTGATCACTGTTGTATAAAACTTGGAAATACAGAAAAACATGTAGAATAAAGAGAGAAAAATATATAAAATTATATAGAATAGAAGAAAAATCACTCATCATCTCTCCACTCAGAAATAACCACTCCTAATATATTGGTAAATTTACTAGGAGTGCACCAACATAGCTGTTATTAGAGTGTATGCATTTTATTTTTGTAGCCTGTTTTATTTCCTTAACCTTATAGTGTAAGCATGTTCCGTATCATTCAAAATTCTTAATAAACATCAGTCTAAATGGCTGTAAGATATTTAATGTAGAGAAGCCTCATAATGGATGTAATCATTCCCTAGCTGTTGGACATTTAACTATTCTCCAAATGTTGGGTTGTTTCTGGTTCTGCCTATTATCATGCTGTGATGAATATATATTTTTTTGTTTGTTTAACAGACAGGGTCTCACTCTGTTGCCCGGGCTGGAGTGCAGTGATGTGATCCTAGCTCACTGCGGCCTCGAACTCCCGGGCTCAAGCAATCTTCTTGCCTCATCCTCCCAAAGCACCAGAATTACAGGTGTGAGCCACGGCACCTGGCCTGAATATCTTTATGCATATCTCTTTGTCTTTATTTTAGACGGTTTCCTTGCAGTCATTTCAGAAGTGGCATTCCCAAATGGGAAGATTTTTAAGGCTTTTGGGATACATATTGCTATACTTTTTTTTTTTTTTTTTTTTTTTTTTTTGAAACGGAGTCTTGCTCTGTTGCCCAGGATGGACTGCAGTGGTGCAATCTCGGCTCACTGCAAACTCTGCCTCCCGGGTTCACACCATTCTCCTGCCTATGTATATGGGACTACAGGTGCCCGCCACTGTACCCGGCTAATTTTTTGTATTTTTAGTAGAGACGGGGTTTCACCGTGTTAGCCTGGATTGTCTCGATCTCCTGACCTCGTGATCCGCCCCCCTTGGCCTCCCAAAGTGCTGGGATTACAGGCATGAGCCACCGCACCCGGCCTAGACTTTTTTTTAGAAGGATAAGACATGAATGTATTCAGATCCCCTGAACCTATATGATAGGACATACCCTAATTTGTGTGTGTAGGGTGGTGGTGTCACTAGAAAGAGCTCAGACTCTGCTACTTTGGACAAGTTACCCAACTTCACCATTTCCTGTTGGTGTAGATCTGAGTAATCACTTCCCAGAAATCCAAGAGTGACTGTTCTACAGAGCAAGGCTTATGAGTGCTCATATTTTAGCTTTAAAAGTACAGATGTGGGCTGGGCATGGTGGCTCATGACTGTAATCCCAGCACTTTGGGAGGATGAGGCAGGTGGATCACTTGAGGTAAGGGGTTCAAGACCAGCCTGGCCAACAATGGTAAAAACCCATATCTGCTAAGAAAATGTAAATGTTAGCTGGGCATGGTGGTGAGTGCCTGCAGTCTCAGCTACTTGGGAGGCTGAGGCAGGAGAATCACTTGAACCCGGGAGGCAGTGCTTTCAGTGAGCCGAGATCATGCCACTGCACTCCAGCCTGGGCAACAGAGCGAGGCTCCAAAGTACAGATGTCATTAACTTCAGTTTGTGTTATTTCTCTTTCATGAAAAGGGCTCAACAAAAATATTTGGGAAAACTACTTGTCTCAACAGCCTAAAATGCTTTTTTGTAGTAGAGGTAGGATAGGTTTGACTAAACATCCCTGATATTAGGAAGAAATGCAACAGGGGCTCACGCTTCCTGGTGTCCACGATGCATGTGCCAGGAGCCAAGCAGAGGACCTGGTGTTGAGCATTTCTAATCTTCCCAAGCAGCTTTCCCCATGGTGGGTTACACAGAACATTGGTTCTGCAGGATGCTAACAGGTATTCCTTGCAAAAACGATTCTGGTGCTTGGAAAAACTGAGTTAATGAAAGTGGAACCCATTCTTTTGTTATTTGAGAATTCCCAAGACAAGGATATGATATTGAGCATTTGCCAAACTCACTTGACAATAAAACCCCTTTCCATCTCATGGGATTGATGTGCCAAAGACCAGACTTTGAGAATCACTGCTCACAACAAGACTGCAGTATAATATTTCTCTTTGTATCCCACAAACAGGAAAGCTGAGGTCGGGTAAATTGACCAAGATGGCAAAACCTAGTGACTCAAGGACTCAGGGTCGGAACCCAGAGTCACCTGACCTTAAACCCATGTTCTCTTCCACTCTCCCCCGGAAATGGGCTCAGACTGCAGGGTGTCCCTGACCCAACTGTTGAGTGCCTGATGCTACAGGGCGAATATGAAATCAAGATCAGAGCTTGAATAGAGAATCCCAAACTGAGTGTGTTGATCCTGGAGACTGGGCCACGCTGGAAACTGACACAGGGTGAATAAGCCAAGGAAATGAGCAGCCTGGAAGCTGAGCATGAGGAAGGCGGTTGGGATAAATTTTGGGGACTGCAGGAACTACTGTGTCATGGAATCAGCTGGCTTATGAGGGAACAGGATTCATCTCTTGTAGCTGGGGTGAGGTGGAGAGAGGAGGAGGAACAATATTCTATTTGAGGGCTGCCCAAGACTCTCCTCTTACTGCCTCGCAGCTCTTGACTATGTTAATTCTCCAATGCCCCCCACTACGAAGTCATCAAGTATTCCTTTGTCTCCTGTTGTCCTCAAAGCCTCAGCCTGGGCTGTTTGCTGCTAGGGCTCCGCTTTTCAACAGCTTTATACCCTCTCCATGTGCATGATTCTGGCTTCAGGGGTGTGGAAGAAATGGCTTCTGATAACGCAATAGTATATCTAAAGCACTGCCGGTCCATGTACTCGACAAAGATTCATGTCCCAGGGGCTGGTCTAGGCACCACGGATACATTAGCGAGCCACCGGGACACACATTCCCAGCCTTACGTCATGGCCCTTCGCTGAGGGAGAGATGATAAGCCAGATAAGGAAGTCAAATGTTAGACAGTGATCCGCAATAAGGAGAAAAGGGGGAGGGGCCTGACATTTTAGATTGGGTGCCCAGGGAGGACTTACTGAGAAGGGGCTTTTTAATCTCCATCACAGCCCTTTGAGCAGAGAAGGGATTCAACATTTGTTGCACTTCTGGCAGCTGACAGGCCTTGCACACTTATATATCCCACATTTTCTTTTCCTCTCTAACTTAACAGATGAAGAAAGTGAGGCTCTGAGAAGGCAAGTCATTTTTCTTCATTAGAAACTGGTTCAGGCTGGGCGCGGTGGCTCACGCCTGTAATCCCAGCACTTTGGGAGGCTGAGGCGAGTGGATCACAAGGTCAGGAGATTGAGACCATCCTGGCTAACATGGTGAAACCCTGTCTCTACTAAAAATACAAAAAAAATTAGCCAGGTGTGATGGCGGGTGCCTGTAGTCCCAGCTACTCGGGAGGCTGAGGCAGGAGAATGGCTTGAACCTGGGAGGGGGAGCTTGCAGTGAGCTGAGATCGGGCCACTGCAGTCCAGCCTGGGCAACAGAGCAAGACTCTGTCTCAAAAGAAAAAAAAAAAAAAGAAAGAAACTGGTTCTGACACCAGAAAGCCCACACTCTCTCTGCAATCTCACACTCTCTTCTTGAAATAACCAGGTCAGCCACTATGTTAGCCCACTTTATAGGAAAGGAAACAGAGGCCAAAAAACCTTGAGGTTTTTTGAGCTGAGACTGGAGTTAATGTCACCTAATGCCCAGTCCAGTTTTCTTTCTCCTTTAGTAGACTGGAAGCAATGAGTATAGAATCTGTTTTGTTTTCTCTTGTTGTTGTTGTTTTGTTTGTTTGTTTTGAGATGGAGTCTCGCTCTGTCACCCAGGCTGGAGTGCAGTGGTGTGATCTTGGCTCACTGCAAGCTCCACCTCCCAGGTTCAAGTGATTCTCCTGCCTCAGCCTCCTGAGTAGCTGGGACTACAGGTGCCTGCCACCACGCCCAGCTAATTTTTTGTCTTTTTAGTAGAGACAGGGTTTCACCGTGTTAGCCAGGATGGTCTCGATCTCCATTTCCTGACCTTGCGATCTGCCCGCCTTAGCCTCACAATGTTCTGGGATTGCAGGTGTGAGCCACCACGCCTGGCCTGTTCTTTTTTTTTTTTACTGGGGTGCAGAAAGAAACAAAAGACTCAAGGGCTTGTCAAAACTTCTATGCATGTGAAATGGTAGAAGTTGACTTAACAAGAAGGGAAAGTGACCAAATGACTCAGCACCCGATTTGCACCACACCACTCTCTTGAATAGCTGCGAGGAAGCACTTGCCGGTGGAAGGAAGGTCCACAGGCCAGCAACATGGGCATGACCTGGGAGCGTATTAGATGTGCAGAATCTTAGGCCCCATCCCAGACCTACTGGATCAGGATCCGCATGCTAACCAGGTGATCATGTGCATGTTAGAGTCTAAGAAGCCCTGCTCTGACTGCCCCATCCCATAGTGCAGTGATGCTGGGTGTCCTCACAGAGCAGTCAGCAAGCCTAGGTATAGTTATGGGAAGACTCATGCCAGGTAGGACTGCGGAGCTGGGGTGACATGGGCAGAGGCCTCTGCAGAAGCTTAGCTCTGGTTGGCCGGGCGCGGTGGCTCACGCCTATAATCCCAGCACTTTGGGAGGCCAAGGCGGGTAGATCACGAGGTCAGGAGATGGAGACCATCCTGGCTAACACTGTGAAACCCCGTTTCTACTGAAAAAAAAATACAAAAAATTAGCCGGGCGTGGTGGTGGGCACCTGTAGTCCCAGCTACTCGGGAGGCTGAGGCAGGAGAATGGCGTGAACCTGGGAGGTGGAGCTTGCAGTGAGCCGAGATGGCGCCACTGCACTCCAGCCTGGGCGACAGAGTGAGACTCTGTTTCAAAAAAAAAAAAAAAAAAAAAGCAGCTTAGCTTTGGTTCCCCCAGCAGCAGCAGCTCATTTTGGAGAGACTGACTGAAGGGGAGGTGTATGGGATGGTGGTATTCCTGTTTCACTTTACTGTCCCATTGAGACTAGGACTGGCGGGAGAGAGTTTCTCTATGATCTGCTGAAACCTGGAAAGGAATCTGCAAGAATAAACAGAGACTTTAGAGCTTACCAATTCTGATATTTGGAGGCCTTTGCAAGATTTAATTCAATTATTTAATTATTTATTGATGACCTACCATGTACCAGATACCGGAATACAAAGGGAATAAAATGTCCTAGTGTTGTATTGGGAAGGGAGGGTCACATTCTTTCATGTGTCTGTGTTTGAGGATGAGATGAGTTGGGGGCAGACCTCCGGGGATAAAGCAATCGCATGCCTGGTGTCACCTGGGTCCCGAGGGGCAGGACAAAGGACAGATTAAGGAAGGCTTCCTGGAGGAGGTGGCTCCTAAGCTGTCAAGTAGGCTAAGAAATGCTCTATGCGTGGGCTAACCCATTCCATACACTCACCACACACACTCACTCACATGCACTCACACACAAATTCCCACCCACACTCACACATCTGCATCCACACATA